CTCTTATACACATCTAGATGTGTATAAGAGACAGCTCTGGCACACTCATGCTTTTTTGAGTGTATAGCGAATATGACAACATGCACACACACACACACACACACACGGGGGCACGCACACACATACACACACACACACACACACACACACACACACACACACACACACACACACCGGTGCTCCCCAGGCCCCTCCAAAGCCCCGCTGGCGACCAGTACCAGCGCAGGCGAACCCCGTTCGCGGGCTTTGAAAACATGTTCTCGCAAATGTGTTCTCGACCCATTTGCGCGAACAGGAGAACGAGTTCACCCGAACGGGAAGGGCCAGGAACACGTTCTCCGTGCTACGCAGGTTTGCTCTTACTTATTTGGTGTGATCTATTGTGCAATCTGCCTACAGTTCGGGCTCATATGGTCTCTGGGTTTCTCATTCTATCATCCTTTCTTATAATTTCCCCCCCTTTTCCTGGGATATTGCGAGGACCCGGCCTCAACAACTCTTTTTCAAGTGCAATAAAGCTGAAGCATTTTTTGAAGGGAAAAAAAAAAGGAAGGAAAAAAGAAGTTATCTGCATTTCTATAAATGCCACAATTTGGTTTATTGTCATTCACATTGCTCATGTCCCTGCATATACAGTCACAAATACGTGGATTGAACTGAATTCCCAAAATAGGGCGAACATGTAACCGTAAAAGTTGAACAAATTTTGCGATTTTCTGTGCCAGTGTGAGTATGCCCCGACTCTCATTGTGATCCCTTCCAGCTCAGATTCTGGTTCTTTGCCACATTTGATTTTTTCACTCTTGAAGTTTCTTGTTTGTAAGAGAAGGTGAAGAGGAGCTCACCGCCCCAAGATGAATAGACCTTGATGTAAGTAAACCATCACTTAACCGGATGAAACGTCCAGCTATATGCATCTGAAGTGTGCTCACCCCAAAATCTTTATAGGCCCATTTGGGGCACATTTGCTTCGACAACAAGAGTGTGGCATAGATGAAACATCCAGCTTGATACTGCTCTTTTGTTTCTCTAAGTAATTACCTCATTCCCTGAGGATTCGACCTCGTGATTTTGAATACTAACAGTGTCATCTCTGTATACCATAAAGCCAAGCCCAAGCTGTCATCAGAACAAACCATTACGCCATGGTCTATCCGATTTCAGACGGCGGGAAGGGCCTTCCATCAGAACTCTGTTGAGGCCTGCTCGCAGGAGCCACAACACTGTTAAGAGTACAGCTTCACCTCGTTGAGGCCAGAGTTTGTATGGTTTGGCAAACCTGACTCCCAGCCGCCTAGATCCACTACCAGTCATCATAGGTCTGCCTGTCCCAGATACCCAGCTACGCAAGTACATTCAACTTCAGAACAAGTTCTTACCACTGCATTACTCACAAAACGCATTAAAAGAGGCTATGACATTTGACACTCTGTGGCAGTGTTGCCAGGACCAGGGTGAAGGCTGTGAGAGGAAAGTCACTTCAGCAGGAAAGGAGCCGCCTGACCTGGAGAATTTGCTACGCTTCCGATCAGTCTCTCCAGAGCATGAACCACGTTGACTGTAAGATGCTGAGGAGACACTCTCTGTAGCAGAAAGCCAACAACAGCAAATCCAGCCATGTTCAACATGTACTGTTGGTTTGCCAAGTTTCCTGCGAGTACAGCGGCAAGGAGTCCAATCACCTCCACGGCCAGGTATTGATCAACTTTATACTCCATTTGTGACCTTGCTGTTGCAACTTCACTGCCTTTGACTGCCTCATGAAAACAAGACCTCCTCTCACCTTTCGCATCCCCTTGCTTCTTATGTCCTTCCTCAAAACCTGATTTGTTCTCCGCAAATGCCTCAGTGCTACCTACAACTGGTTGGTCCAATTGGGTAAAAAGAGGGAACAACACAGTGATGCCTCCAACACAGTGTATAATGTCCTGGACTCGCCGAGTGCAACAAACTTGTGTTCCTTCCATGATTGTCGCATCGCAGGGAAGCTGATCAGACCCTTGGTCAAGCAGTGCTGAGATATTGAAACAAGTTTTGCCTGAACTCGCCTGGAATCCCCATAGAACAATGGAGACAATGAAAAGAAGTGACAAAACACAGATTCAGATGCATTTCACAAAATCACACACGGAAGACCAATAACAGGAATGGGACTGAAAGCACAGGAATGATGAAGATGGAGTTCACACTTGATCTAGAATACAAGCTGTAATTAGGCCGTTATACAAATACGCCAACGACAAATCACACCACGTGCCAGAATCGGCCAATCAAGAGTGTGTGGCAAATAATGTCCTGAAATCAGCAAGAGGAAGAGATTTGTGCCTTCCATGTTTGTGGCATGCTGAGAAAGTTCTGCCAGAACTGGCCTCTAGTCCCCTTAAACGAAGGGATTATTAACCATTGAAAGGAAACAACCATACCACTGATTCAGATACGATTTACAGAAGGATAAGCGACTGTTGCGAGAACGGAGTAAATAACCCAGAACAGTTGGACAGAAAGAAGGAAAACAAAGATTGACATGCAGTAAAAACCATACCACTGATTCAGATAAGATTTACAGAAGGATAAACAACCGTTGCAAGAATGGAGTATTCAACCCAGAACAGTTGGACAGAAAGAAGGAAAACAAAGATTGACATGCAGTTTATGGACAAAGATTGACTCCTTGGGAGTTTATGGATCGACTTCCTACCAGATTATGGATTAAGATTGACTTTGCAATCTCCGAACTGAATGAACTGTCATAAGCTGAATGCACTGAACCAAGGGAACCTGCATGAGCACCGTTATGCTATTGGCTCCCTGGCAATGGTTCCAGGGATAAGGTGTCAAATTCATCTACCCAGACTGAATAGATGAGGCTGAGAATACTGCATTTTTCTCCATTAAGGCACCTAGAGCATCACACCATTTCTCAAAATCTAGCTTCACCTACTTGGTATGGGAAAAGCAGGCTCTACTCCGCAACAATAACATGTAAGGACTAAAAAGGCGCCACCATAACACAACAAACCACCTAATCTGACTTACAAAAAGGGATGCTCATTAGCACCATAGCCTACTCCAGCTTCATGTCAAGCACGTGCAATTATGAGCATTCAAATTACTAGTGGCAGTCCAAACGAAATGAAATCTCAATACGATCGATGACTGTAGTGAAACAGGTCTGTTTTGCAGGCAGTACACTCTTCTGCATCTACGAATACAGATGACCTGTTAAACCTGCATGATGCGCGGAGAGCTCCATTCCAGAACTTGAATGCTTGCCATATGGATGCTTCGGCATTCCTGAGCTATTCGATGAACACACTCCTCAGCTTGAATTGATGGGTTACAGGATGGGAGTGTTCTGACAGGTATAAAGCTAGGACGATTGTCACGCCCGGCATGTGGGATAAAAAAAGAAAAAAATATATGGTTTTCCGCACTTCACCAAGAAGACCCCAAACCCGGGCTCTTCTTTTTTTCCGAGTGTCGACTGTCAAGGGTGGGGAAGGGGGATATAAATTGGTTTTAAAATTTAAAGGGGCTGAGGGGTTTTAAAGGGGGGTGCCTAGATTCTGTTGTTCTCTTTTTTATATCCAATTCTGTGAGGAATTCTTATGTGACCCCCAGCCAGAAGTCATTCGCATTGCAAATTCTTCACAACATATTATTTTTCCCGTAAGTCTTGGTTTTCTCCTTTTTTCTCTTTTATGACGCTGGGGCTGCCCGGAACCCTGCCCGGGGGTCATGCCCGGCTGGAAACCCCGGCGTGTATCTGGGCACAACTTGGGTGCCCTGGCGCCTGGAAAAACAGCCTACGTATAAAGAAGAAAAGGAGAGGAAAACAAATATATATATCGTCACAAACAGAACTGCCCGGTAAAACCGTAGGCAGAGAGAGAGAAGAGGACAACAAACGAGGGGCTGTGACAAACTGTTTCGTCGGAGTTTCACCGACTCATCAGGAGGCTGAACCCATATATCGTCACAAATTTATCCGAGCGCAAGTGCAAAAAAAAGAAGAAATAAAATCATTTTTTTTTTATTTTTATCTTCTCCCTTACAAGACTGCCCCTGTTCACAAAAATATCAGAGCGCAAATGCGAAAAAAAGAAAGAAAAAAAGGAAGAAAAACACAAAAAAATGAATTCAGTTTTTTATCTTCTTCCCCTGTTCAGAACCTCTTGCGTACAAGGCCGCCCACGTGGATGTAGGTTGAGCGATGGCTGCCCCCACCCCCGTGTGTCATATCGACCCACTTGCACACAGCCAAAAGGCGAAGAGGCAAAGGAAAGAGGAAGGGAACAGCCAAATAATACAGAACAGGGAGCAACAAAACAGATCCCAGATGACAAGTCCCACATGCAACACAAAAAAAAGGGGAGGATAGGACGATCAGTCAAGCTATTTTGGACGTAAATGAATTCTTGCATGCACTGACAAGAGAATCAAAAAATATTTTCTACCATAACCAAAGAAGAGCCTGCTAGTACAGGCCCGACGCTCGCCGCATCATCTACAAAAGCAGAGAGCTAGCAACGTCGGAGTATATATTGTCACAAAAATATCAGCGCGCAAATGCGAAAAAAAGAAAGAAAAAAAGGAAGAAAAAGTCTGAAAAACAGAAAAAAATGAATTCAGTTTTTTATCTTCTTCCTTATAATATATCAATGTTGGCAGGAAGAAAAGTTGGCTTCCACTTCAAATGCTCACCATTCCACCAAGCAGGGTTGAACCCCCCGACGGTCGGCGGCCCTTGACTGGTCAGCTGCAGACCTGCCGACCGATCGGCCGGTCGACACCAACCGGTCGGGGGTCGTCGGCACCCCACAAAAAAAACAAAAAGGGGGGTGCGAGGAATATGAGTGGGAACGGTATACAGAAAGCCAAGTTGCAAAATCACACAGATGTCCAAGTAGTTGTGTACAAGCAGAGAGCACAAATGCACCCGAGATTCCGTCCAAATAAGAGCAATACAATGAAGTCATGAGCCAATGTTCAAGCCCTCAGGCCACACCAACACAGCATCCAATGTCGCTTCTCTCTGTCTGGCGCCCACAGCCCAGCCTACACTACTTGCCTATCCTACCTACATCAGCATCCACGCAACCTCTCTCATGTACCAGGTACGTATCTCATCTCCCCTCATCAGACCCTGACCACCCACGCTCGGCTCCTTCCTGAAGACCAACGATCGCCCTCCTACCCCCTAGCGCCCTGCAGCCCGGCTATGGCTGCTAGCGCTCCGCTGCCCAGCAGCGCCTCTCTCACCTTTCAAGCGCCCGTAAGCGCCGGTAAGCGCCCTGGCCTCAACGCAGCACGCAGCCACCAACGCAGCAGCGCTGCAGCGTGACCACATTGCCTGTGTGGGCCAGAATGCCAGACCCTGGCTGCCACTCTCCCTATATGAAAGTGGCAACCCGTGTCTGGCCGCGTGTGGCCTGGCTGGGAAGCTTCCAGTAGATTCCGGTCAGGCCCCAGTGCCTGCGCCCAGGCCCTGGGCCTTTTTCGGTTGGGCACACCCAGACTCGGGCCGTTTGCTGTATCTGCCCAGGCCCCCGGGGCACATACATCGACAATGCTGCTTTTGCATAGGCCCTTGGCCAATTCGTGATGTATCTGCTTTGCAATGTGGAGTCCAGGCACAACTGCCTGGCGCAGGTAGGCTCAGGCGTCTGACTAACCAACTGGAGTGCAGCCAACTGTCTGAGTACCCATATATGGAAAATGTCGAATTTTGGCCTCTTGTGAATATTCAGGCCGGCCTTCATTTAGGGCGGGCACGGGGCATTCTGAGGGCCGTGGCCCAGACCATGTGCATCTGTTAAGGGCCCTGTGAGGGCTCATTCCTCGCAGGGGATTCAGAACCCCTAATAACACCACCAACACCCCCATAGCGGCCCCCATACACCCCCCAAACACCCCCGAACCACCCCCAACACCCTCATTACTCCCCACCCAAAAACCCCTATATCACCCCTATAGCCCCCCTATGCCCCCCCTACACTCCAACCTTAACCCCCCCATACCCCCCCATATCCCCCCCCCATCCCCAAAAATTTCTCAGCAGATTTGGGCTGTACTCAGTGGATGTTTTTTTTTTTTTTTTTTTTTTTTTTTTTTCCTAACCGGTCGGCCCTATTGGTCGGCTGCAATACGGTCGGCAGTCGGGGTTGGCGGTCGGCAGGGATGCAACCCTGCCACCAAGGGAACTTAATGACACAGAGTCTATAACTGTTTCTCAAAACAGTCTTGTACACAAGGCTGCAACATGACTCAACTACTGCCGTAGCAGCAGCATGATGTTTACATGGTCCCTCCCGAAACTCCTGTGTCCAATCTATAACACTAACTGCTCCACTGTGTTTCTCTCAAGCTCGGTAAGCGTGCACCTCACATATCATAGGAGCACAAACTGGTTCTCTATCTTTATGCAATGATAAATGGGATCGTTTTCATCTGGGCATTCACACAACTTTATTCTGCTGCATACAACATACGTCTTTATCTTGCTGCTTGCAACAAACCCACGAATAGAGTTGCAGAAACCAATCACTCTGAATCTCGGCTGTCCAGTTCTATAACATGACCATCAACAAAAAGCACATAGGCTTCAGATAATCTTTACAACTCCTTACATTGAAAGGATTCACGCTGCAGACTCCCCAGTTCCGGTCCCAGAGTCCCGACGTGTCCCAGTCCCAGTCTGTCCGGTAGGATAGACCGTAGGGTCCGTAGGCTGAATCGTTGTAGGTCGGTAGGCATCGGTACCAAAACATCGTAGGTCGGTAGAATTTTCGTCCGGTCCAGCGAGGTCCAGTCCACTCAACAGTCCAAAAGTCCAATTTTGCAGCATGTCCCAGGAAAGGACCGACAAAATGTTTGCAGCAGTCAGGCCGCGGCCGACCGGTACCAGTCTGAAGCAGGCCTAGCCAAGTCAAAACATATATTTAGCTGTTACAGTGCAGTGGCTCATCACTTGTTCAATTGCGATATGCGGAAGCACTGCTGCTGCTTGTGCGTTAAGGCAACTTGGGCACTTCACGCCTGAAGAAGA